AACCTCAGATCATCATCACTGATTCACACACTCATGGCGATTTCACGTCTCTATACACTCTTCCTCATCTCAATCATCTTCTTCTCAATCAAATCACACAACAGCAAAGCCAAAGAAGAAGAAGAAAACACACCAATCAATCGATTCCAACGATACTTGCGATTCAAAACTGCTCATCCAAACCCAAACTACACACCACCAATCACTTTCCTCATCGAACAAGCTCAATCAATCAATCTCACTTCTCGTACAATCGAATTCGTATCTGGTAAACCTGTGTTAATCATCACATGGGTCGGATCAAAACCTAAACTTCCATCGATTCTATTAAACTCTCATCTCGATTCAGTTCCTGCTGAATCTGAGAAATGGATTCATCATCCTTTCTCAGCTCATTACTCCGATGATGATGGTAAGATCTACGCTCGTGGTGCTCAGGACGATAAGTGTATCGGAGTTCAGTATCTAGAAGCGATTAGGAGCTTGAAATCGAGAGGATTTGTTCCTATTCGTACTGTTCATATCTCTTATGTACCTGAAGAAGAGATCGGTGGATTCGACGGGATGAGTAAGTTTGCAGGTTCACCGGAGTTTATGGAGCTTAATGTTGGTTTCGCTATGGACGAAGGTCAAGCGAATCCTGGTGATGAATTTAGGGTTTTTTACGCTGATCGGACTCCATGGGAGCTTGTTATTAGAGCTGAAGGAGTTCCAGGACATGGTGCTAAGCTTTATGATAATGGAGCAATGGAGAATTTGATGAAGAGTGTTGAGTTGATCTCTAAGTTTAGAGAGACGCAATTCGATTTCGTTAAAGCTGGGAAATTTGCTAATTCTGAGGTTATCTCTGTGAATCCAGTTTATCTTAAAGCAGGAACTCTTTCTACTAATGTAAGCATTTGATGATCTTTAAAGCTCTGTTTTTTTTTTTGTTTTTAAAGGTATTGTTTTTTTTTTTTTTAAGTGTTTTTGTTTGGTTTTTAGGGATTTGTGATGATGAATATGCAACCTTCAGAAGCTGAAGTTGGGTATGATTTGAGGTTACCTCCAATGGCAGATCCAGATGTTATGAGAAAAAGGATTGCTGAAGAATGGGCACCTGCTATTCGGAACATGACCTATACGGTAAACGAATAGAAGCTCTAGTCATTTATCTTCTTGAAGAAAGTAGAAGTTGTTTATGTGTTGGCTCTTGATTAGCTTCTAAAACTGCCCTTCATTAACCCTTAATGAATTGGATGAATGAAGAAGCATAGCCCGATAGACTGAAACAGCTCGTGATATAGTACCATTGAGAGTTAAGTTAATGATAGACTGATAGTCATTAACCGGATACTTAGAACAGAGATCGTATAAAATTCCTTAACTTTTGCTTTGATCATTAGTAAAAAATATGTTTAAGATGTCTTTGAAGAACTCTCAATACTTGGTTTAAGACTATTTCGATTTCCGATCTTTTTGAATCTTCCACACTAGTTTTCGTTATAAATGAAGATATATCGTATGGCCCCTGTTTTACTTCAAAGAATTATGTTTCGTTAGTTGATGAACATTTGATTTCTTTCTTTTACAAAGGAAACTACGAGTGAACAAATTTAATTACTTTTTATGCACCAGATAAAAGAGAAAGGAATGTTAAGGGACCATTTAGGGAGACTTATAATGACTCCAGCAAATGATTCCAATCCTTGGTGGTCTATCTTCAAGCAAGCTGTTGAAGCAACTGGAGAAAAACTCGCAAAACCTGAAATTTTGGCTTCAACTACAGATGCACGCTATATTCGTGCTTTAGGGATTCCCCTTTTTGGTTTCTCTCCAATGAGGAATACTCCTATCTTATTGCATGACCATAACGAGGTATTGTTCATGGTGTTATATATCTATGGACATCTTTTTTGAATTATATATCTAGCCACAGTACTGATATAAACGAACTCTTGTGGCTTCAGTTCCTCAAAGATACTGTGTTCATGAAAGGAATAGAAGTATATGAATCGGTTATCAGCGCTCTAAGTTCATACGAGGGAGTATCTGATCAAGTGATTTGATGCAAACTCGATGCGAGGAACTGTGACACACCCCCTTGATTATGGTCAAGGCTCGCATTTCTGTGATGCAGAAGTGTTGTAGTTGTTTCCCTGATTTGCTTGTATATATATATATGGTCTTTCGTCGCCTGTAGGTTTCTTTTTACTGATATTCACTATGGCCATGTGAACCTAAGTGGCTGGTAATAATCCTTTGTATTTATCAGATGTTTGATTTGTCTGCATTATAGAAGAATCTAGAATGATCCTAGAGATATTTGTGAATATTCCTATGAGATTTGTAATTATCTTATATTAGGAAACTAGGTTAAATGTGTATAGCATTCAATTCCTATATAAATGTATCTAACCAAAGCTTATGATTATGAGAGTAAATATAATATTCTTCCAATCCTAAACTCTCATCACATCTAATATGGTATCAGAGCAGGTTATGCTCATGAGTTTTGATCAACAATCAAACTCTCTTTTCATCWTTTTCTCTAAGCCAAAGTGTTTCCACTATTCAAGTCTTAGACCTCTGAATCAGAGCTACAATGATCTAACGATCGATTCCAATTTTATTTTTTGAATTTCCAATGTTTAAAGCCTATGTGCTTCTTCTATTCAAGCATAAAATATATGCCTCTAAATCTAAGTTTTATAAGCTTCTAAAGCCAAGTGCTTCTAATTGATCTGTTTTTTCCCTTAGTCTTGTGCTTCCAAGATTTGTCTTCTGATTTTTCAACAAAACCCTTTCAAGCAATGGAGCTTCTTTGTTTTCTTAATCTTTCACAAGCCAATCGTGCTTCCTACTCTT